TTTTCCCGGAAGATAAAACAGTACTTCTAAAAACGTGCAAAATCCCTCCAGCTTCTGAGTGATAGAAATTCAGCACAAATACAGACTTCAGTTTTTCCAATTCCATCTTGCCTAAAAATCCCCCAAAAAGACAAATCATAGAACAAACTAATAATAGACACCTCAAATCCTAAATTTATCTCTGAGATTGTGATCAAATACTGAACCCTTTTCTTTGGATAGGAGATTAAGACTGATATTCTCCTTTGAGCAAACATCAGTGATCACATATACACTGTAAAAACACTTGCTCTTGGGACCAGCAGTTAGCGTAATGGCTATGACGCTGGACTCCCATGTAGTTGATCGTGGTTTGCGTCCCGGACCTGGTGACTTAAAACTCACACCGGGTGCGTGTGCATGCATATCCAAGACCCCGAGAGGAGAATGGAGGAGAAGAGACTGTGGCGTGGCCGTCCCCGCTGGGGGGCGATTTCTCGCTTTCTGTCTCTCTCTGTCTGTCTGGAAAGTGCACACACCCTGTAGCAAAAACCTTTCCAAAAAAAAAAAAAAAAGACACTTGCTCTTTTTTTTTTTCTCCTTTTTTTTTTTTTTGGAGAGATTTTCACTGTAGGGCGCGTGCGCTCGCCAGACAGACAGAGAGAGACATAGAGACAGAAAGCGAGAAATCACCCCCCAGGGGGGATGGTCACGACGCAATCCCTTCTCCTCCATTCTCCTCTCGGGATCTTGGGCACGCACGCACACGCGCCCGGCGTGAGTTTTAAGCCACCGGGTCCGGAACATGAACCGCGGTCGACTACGTGGGAGTCCAGCGACATAGCCATTATGCTAACTGCTGGTTCCCGACACTTGCTCTTTATACATAACTCTCATATCACTGTTTATAGTTCCTTTTTTGTTTTTTTTTGGTTTTTGCCATAAGGTAGGTGAGCTTGTCAGAGAGAGATAGTAAGAGGGAAAGTGAGAAATCACTCCCCAAGGGAGATGGCCACACCCCAATCCCTTCTCCATTCTTTGCCTGGGATTTTGGGTATACACACACACACACACATGTACCTGGTATGACTTTCAAGCCACCAGGTCTGGGATTAGAACAGGAGTTAGCCATGTGGGAGTCCAGTCCCTTAAATGCCAAGCCTCCTGCTGGTCCCACACTGTTAATATTACTAAAGTCTAACCTAAACGGTGCTGCAACTGCCAAAGTGACTGTCAATGTCACACACAATGGGTATGACGGTGAAAGTTCCATCTGGGACACAGACACCATCGATGGTAGGATTAAGTTCCCATGTCCCCAGGTCTTTTACTGTCCTTGATCATTGAAGAAAAAGTTCACTGTTCCTAACCCAAAAGCCAGGAGCAAAACAAAAACCAGCAGGGGTGTGGTCTGAATGTGCTTCCATGCCCATATCAATATAGTGATCACCCGCACACACATATCACACAGAGCTCACCCGCACGCCCATATCAATATCAATACAGCGACCACCCACACGACCATATCAATACTGAGCTCACCTGCACGCCCATACTAATACAGTGATCACCGCACACCCATATCAACACTGAGATCACCCGCACGCCCATATCAATACAGCGATCACTCGCACACCCATATCAACACTGAGATCACCCACACACCCATATCAATACAGCGATCACCCGCACACCCATATCAATACTGAGATCACCCGCACGCCCATACTAATAGTGAGCTCACCCGCACGCCCATATCAATACAGCGATCACCCGCACGCCCATACCAACACTGAGCTCACCCGCACACCCATATCAATACAGCGATCACTCGCACACCCATATCAATACTGAGATCACCCGCACACCCATATCAGTACAGTGATCACCCGCACGCCCATACTAATACTGAGCTCACCCGCACACCCATATCAATACAGCGATCACTCACACACCCATATCAATACTGAGATCATCCGCACACCCATATCAGTACAGTGATCACCCGCACGCCCATACTAATACTGAGCTCACCCGCACACCCATATCAATACAGCGATCACCCGCACGCCCATATCAATACAGCGATCACCCGCACGCCCATATCAATACAGCGATCACCCGCACGCCCATATCAATACAGCGATCACCCGCACGCCCATATCAATACAGCGATCACCCGCACGCCCATATCAATACAGCGATCACCCGCACGCCCATATCAATACAGCGATCACCCGCACGCCCATATCAATACAGCGATCACCCGCACGCCCATATCAATACAGCGATCACCCGCACGCCCATATCAATACTGAGATCACCCGCACACCCATATCAATACAGAGCTCACCCACACGCCCATATCAATACTGAGCTCACCTGCACACCCATACTAATACAGTGATCACCCGCACACCCATATCAATACTAAGATCACTCGCACGACCATATCAATACTGAGATCACCCACACACCCATATCAATACAGAGCTCACCCGCACGCCCATATCAATACAGCGATCACCCGCACGCCCATATCAATACAGAGCTCACCCGCACGCCCATATCAATACTGAGCTCACCCGCACACCCATACTAATACAGTGATCACCCACACACCCATATCAATACAGCGATCACCCGCACGCCCATATCAATACTGAGATCACCCGCACACCCATATCAATACTGAGCTCACCTGCACGCCCATATCAATATCAATACAGCGATCACCTGTACGCCTATATCAAAACTGAGCTCCCCTGCACACCCATACTAATACAGCGATCACCCACACGCCCATATCAATGCAGAGCTCACCCCCACGCCCATATCAATACAGTGATCACCTGCATGTGATCTTATCAATACCCCCAGCTTCTTTGGGAGGCTGTTTTTTGAAATGTGTGGCAGTGGGTGGAGGAAGACTCAAATATAAGGACAGTTGTTTTTTTTTTCTCCGAGTCCAGAAAGTCATTCATACTATGTAGAGAAAAACTGTATTCCAGAGCTAGCAATAAGCCCTCCTGGTGGAGAAGCTAATGGACTTAGAGCCCAGACCTCAAAGCACCTAGAGGCCCAAGGTGCATGAAGCCCTGTCCTGAGCAGACAGCAGGCGACTAGGGCTCTAGGGGACATTTTTCTGGATACTTGCCGATGGGAGGAGTACTAAGTAAACAACTGTCAGGCACAAATAGCCACTTCTGTGGCCTATTAGCGGCCACTGACCAAGCCCCCGCCAGGTACCCCTCGCTCTGTCAGGTATTGGCAGCACACTGTCTTACCAAACTACGGACCCCAGGACAAAGGAACTATTTTGTCCCTAAATTAAAGGTTTAACAAATGGGGGCTGGGGGCCAGCAGGTGGCTTGGCGGTTAAAAGCACTAGATATTCCCACACGGCTGACAACAGTTTGAGTCCCGAAGCTGGTGGGACCTTGCTTTCTCATTTTCCTTCTGTGTGTGTGTGTCTCTCTCTGGTCAAATTAAAGAAATGAATAAATAAGATTAATTCTTTAAAAAATAAAGGGGGGGTCTGAGAGGTCAAGTAACATGCCCAATGACATATATCATAGAAGTGAAACAATACAAATTTGCACCCAGCTTTGACCGACTCCAAAGCTTCAAAGCTTGAACTTATTCCTCCACTGTATGAAAACAAAACCTCCTCTCCTTTACGACTTGAAAGAGCCTATATTCCCCCTCTCTGCCTTTGTGTTTTGTTTGAAATCACCTTTCTCGTGTGCCCAGCAAATTTGGTAGAGGTCTGTCCCCTGCCAATGGTCCTGCCTGCCCAGATAACAGCTTCTTGCTCCTGGGTCTACCCCAGGTAAGATCAGGGGATTCAAAGTGCCTCTCTCACCCGCAGCAGAATTCCTGTGCTCTGAATGTGACAGGTAAATCCAAAAAGGGCGTTTAGGGAGGACAAACTCCTCTGGCTAGCACCCCTTCTGGCCTCACCTTAGCACACAAAGCCCAGAAACCATCAGGCCATGGTGGGTTTACTGGCGTTCTCGGACTTAAAGCCGGCAATCCAAGCCTTTTACAGAATGC